CTCCGACACACCCACGACACCCAGCACATCCACCACGCCCAGTTTCACCCTCGCTCCATCGCCCTGCGCGCCCATCACCACCACCACCGCCTCCTCTGCAGCTGACACTGACACCGCCGACATCACATGCCCACACTGTCCCCGCACATTCACCTCTCGCATCGGTCTGGTCGGTCACTTGCTAATCCATCGCACAGAGACTGGCGAACCAGTGCCTGGAGCACCAACCTATACCCACCACGCTCGAATCAACTGCACACACTGCCCTCGCACTTTCAGGCACCGCATGGGCCTATTCGGCCACATGCGCATCCACGACGACCTGCGGTAGACAACCGCCGGTTACACCACACATCCACACACTCCCTACCTCCCAACACCATCACCACCATCACCTCACCAGACATCAACACACACACTTCATGCACCCAACTGCCACCTCCCTCGCAAGTGGGAAGTGTTCATCTCGACTCGGTCCCCATGCGGCTTCGGCTGCACGGGTGACTTGAGTCCGAGACTATCCCGACACGTCAAACGTCGTGGATAGGAAGGCTGTTGACTGACGCCCGCACTCGGTCCACGCAGTTCGTCGCGTTGTGTGAGTGTTGTGTGTAGTGGCCGACTGGTGGGCTGAGGACGGGCTGAAACAGCACCTACTACGGCTCTCTCACGCAAGTGAGAGACACGCCGTTCAACCCCCGTTGTGCGAAATCCTGGTGTGTGTGTGTGTGTGTGTGTGTGTGTGTGTGTGTGTGTGTGTGTGTGTGTGTGTGTGTGTGTGTGTGTGTATGGGGGGGCCAGATCGTGCACGTGGCGAGCGCAGTCATGGTCGGTCGACCATGCCAGCCACCGCGCCCATTTCCCACTCCAGTCTGCTGACCGGCTTGGACAGTGGCTGGGGTGTGGGAATGGGAAGGAAGAGTGAGGCCGACGACTCACCGCACTTCCTCCTCATTATAAGCAATCTGACGCGCTTGAAGCTATCACGATGCGGTAAAAGCCGTGGCTTGAAAGGTTGCCAACTGACGGGGTAACTTGGACCTCCTCCTTCACTGGAGGCGGTCTGAGAGTCTGGCTGCAATGGCTTCTTTTTAATGTGGCCTTTATGGCACTCCTAACACAGTGTGGGATCCGAGCCAGGCGTTGGCGGTACGCCTAGGTGCGGCTTCGGCCGTGCCAGCCTCCAAATCTATGTTGTATTGGTTGAAATCCTGGTCATTTGTTGTGTGGACCAGGGGGTGTGGTGGAACGCCAAGGTGAGGATCCGTCCAAGCCATCCACCTGCGGCCTCCCTCGTCTCCGGTCTTCTTGACTCTGTCTTGGCACCGGGCCCAGTCGGGGGAGGAGGAGAGAGTGTAGGTAGATGCAGCGCAAGTCTACCCGCAATATAAACACCTGCGCAAGTCACCGCCCCTGCTCCCACCGTTGCAGCTGCAGCTGTGGGGCATACGGTGGACATTATCGAAATCGATGGTCGAACTGTCGGTGTCGGTGATGTGCATGGCCCCCTGGGATAGATGTACGCGTCTTTTCACACTAACTGGTGTTCATGAATACGGGTTGAGACAGATTTCCTAGTTCGGCCACCTTTCTGGCTGTTGCCGCGAGCTCCCACCTAGCTGTCAGCAATGTTCTTCACAGGACAGACACAGACGATGAATGGACAGCAGTTTTATTCGGTCAAGATTAACTTTCGGGAAACGAGACATTCTCCTTCTGCAATTGAGGTCTCGAAACGAAGATGAAACCAGCACGAGGACGGGGGAAAAGTTTATACCGATGACGAAAAATTTTTCGTCTGGTTTTTTTGAGCAAACCTTTTTCAGTGATAAAGGAAGACAGTAAGAGAAAGAGGTCGCAAACTCATTTGGGTAACAAAATTTGCAGGAAACATTTGTTACCCAATCACACATCAAGTGCGACCATCTGTTCTGACTGCCAGGGCTGTTGATTTTAACAAATGCGCGGCTGCGTGAAAACTCTCTTTTGCAAATACTACACTTCGTTGTGGATCCCATGCTTATGTTTGTTGCGGTTTCTGATGATCGAGTTCAACGCTGGGACCAAAATGTCAGTTGGTTAAGGTACGTTTTCTACTTAACCTTTTTTCATGAGTTTTCCGGAATTTGCCGTTTCACGCATCTCGGCAAAGACTGGGCATCGAACGAACGACTATACTTCGGGTGCCAGAACATCAAAGTTCATTGTTGTGAACATTTGCATTGCGCACTCGCCTGCCGTCACAAATAATGAAATAGAGCTTTTAAAGCACCGAAATGTGCTCTACACGGAGAAGATATCAGGAATGCAGATCAGACCTGGAGGATTAATTACTTAAGTGTTCCATCTGACCTAATGAAGGAGTGAAACAAAAAGGCAGTAAGCGCGTCATTGTCTGACCGGACGCTTTGTTCAATGGTGCATTTTGTCAAAACGCCGACGCGGTGGGTCCAGCGGCTCAAATACCGTCCTTCGTATAATTGTAATTGTGTAATTGTAATCGTATAATTGTATAATTGTAATTGTATTGTCATGTGCGCCATAGGGGACTGAAAGGTGCCCCACTCTTCGGCTAGCACTTCTTTTGAGTGACGATCAGTACTTGTTTTTCGACTGTGCTAGATGACTGGCCACACAATCTTCTGACATAAGTGCAGGCATGGGCCAGACTGGAAAAATGTTGTCTTTATGGTCGTGGACGCTGACAAACTCTTTCCTCGCCACCATGGTGGTGTAAACCTCCAGGCCGTTGCACTATGTTAGCAAACTAACCCTAAAAGGAGCCGAAATAAGAAGATCCTCTACCAAGAGAGCTGTAGTTCTGACCGGAGCAGTATAATATTCTGCTCAGACCGTTATGTAGTCCTTGCGGGAAGTTCGTCAAATGTTTAACTTTTATAACCTAAAAACGAACAATCTTGCGGCAAGTAGATCGATTACTGTCCCACGAAACTGATAGAAGGCCTGGTCTGTATGTAAGGACTGCATACGGTCTTTACCTGCTATGATAATAGTTGATGATATTTTAGTCTTAAGGGAAAACAGGCTAACATGTACGGTAAATCGAAAAGCGCGATAAATGAGAATCGACCAGGTTGTCTTCAGGGTGAATATTTTTTTGTTAAAGTCCAAGTTATAAGCGCCAAATTAAAAAGCACTCGGCTAGTTTACATCA